ATACCATCCCATACAATCCCATGCACTCAACATACCTATTTAAAAATAAAATTAGAAAAATTGCGCAGGTTCAATGATGTTAAAATGATAGCCACTAGGGGGAGTCCAAGTTCATAACAATCCAAGTTAATCCCCAAAGGTTCTGCAAACCGGGCGGGTGTTAGCAAATGATGTTGCAGGCAACCGATGATAAGATAAGACGCCGCCATCGGGTGGGGGGGAGAGGCAGCCTGGGAAACTGAAACGGCGGCAACAGAACCTGCCGTCCAGTCCCGACCACTCTGCTGTTGGAATCCAATCCCCCCTTCCTTAGGCAAGGCAAAAAGTGCCTCATGTAACACACCGCCCAGCGTCCAGTACAGTCCAAGCACAGTCCAGGCACAAGGGGTCTCAAACCACCCTCGTGCCGTCCCCATTCGACTGGGGGGGGGAAGGCCGTTCCGGATGGCTACCAAACGCTCCTCGCGCTGTTCGTGCCACCCGTGCTGTCAAGGGGGAGGGGGAGGGAGAGCTGCTCATATGTTTCTTCCTCACCGACTCCCAGGTCTCCCAGGTCTCAAACCAACCCGCAGCAGTTCTTCGGCTTAAAAAGCTTACTCGAGCCGTCCGTGGCGTCCGTAGCGTCTCAGAGGGGGGGGCTCTCTGATAACCACCGTTCTCGGGTCCTCTCCAGTTCTTCTCACCCAGGCTTAACTCCCTGGGTGCTAGATGCCACTGCCGCTGCTATCGCCCCTATCAAGCGCAAAACAAGCCGCCCCACAGCTGGTCTACAAACCGCTCTACAGCTGATCTTCAAGCCGTCGCGCCACAAACCAGGATGAAAAGAAAAGATTTGGCGCATTCCAGGTGCCTGGGGGCATGTAAAAATACAAGTAAAAAAATAGGAATCACCTTTGGTGGGAAAGGTTCCGTGTGCCTTTGGTGTCTAGTCATGCAGGCCACATGACCACGGAGACGTCTTCGTGGCCAGACAATGTTGGCTCTTCGGCTTTGAAACAAAGATGAGCACCACCCCCTAGAGTCAGGAACGACTAGCACATATGTCCAAGGAGAACCTTTAACTTTGCCTTTTAAGGATTCTTTAAAAGAATATTATATGGTTGCATCGTACATAAGATGATTTCTCTGACATCAGCATCCAGTTACAAATATATATATATACTTGCTGTTATATTTACCATTCAATCTGAAGTTTTGCAGTAGGGGATATTTCTATTAAAAGACACCTTCTGATTATTAAGCCGGCATCCAGCAGAGAAGAGAAACCTGCCCTGGTAGATTTGTTCATTTTTTTCGTGGATGTATTCTTCAAATATTGTTTTCTTGGTATTTATTTTGTAACATCTCTTTGTGAAGGAAAAATAAAATAGGTTTGTGGAGAAAAAATGTACATAACTTGTATTAAAAGTTTTGTACAGCATATGATGGGTGGCATTTCAAAAGTATGTGATACAAGAAGTCAAAGGATTCGTGATTGTAATAAAGGGTTATGGTAACCAAGCTGTTTATTTTGCCCTAGTCAATTTGAGGGTAAAAGAAAAGTGCTATTAAGCTATATGTTGTTCATAGACTGCAATTTTCATATTTTGGGTGTAGAACTTCAGTATATATTGTTATTTCCTTTACTGTACATAATAACATGATTCACCAATTGACAGATTAAATTATGGGGCTGGAACCATTCATAAACATCCATTTGTTTGTTAAGAAAAGATTTATATAACATATTTATTTCATTTCTGCACCAAGACTTTTTCATTCTTTATTTAGCAATCAGCATTTTCTGGTTGAGTGATAGCATACAAAAGAGTTTATATATCTATTTCTTCCTTATTCTAGATTTCAGAAATATTGGTCCAGAAATTAAACCAAAATGCCATTCAGTTTGACTTAAAACCTGGAGTTAGAATCCTTGTTCATGCTGCTCATTTAATAGCAGGTTGGTGCTGATTCTTTAACAATTGAGCTAACATTGCTGAAACAGTTAATTGGCAATGCTTTCATGATAGAATTGTAGATTTTTAATGTTCAGAATATTTTTCTACTTTTATTTTATTGACATGTATTTAAAATACTTCTTTGTGATAAAATGCAATACAATACATAGCTAAAGTTCTATTACATTTATTGAGACTTAATCACAGCTAATGTCCAGAATATTAGAAAAAGGAAAATGCTATGAATGGAGGTAGTTCTCAAGATTTAGTGGTAAGAGATACCTTTACAAAGAAATATGCTACATAATTTTTTAAATTCACTTCATGGTTTTGATAACTACCAGCAGTTCTTTCTATTTCTTCATCTTAAAAAAATCAAATCAAGAAACCAAGTTGTGAAAATGTAGCTGAAATTAAACATGTGTATCTCATTGGCTCCATAGGTATGGTACTTTTGTATAAAAGGATAGAAAAGTACATCATTCACCAAATTTTAATTCTACGAAGATGCAATTTATTCATACAATTTAATTCAAAAGTGCTAGAACAAATGTACTTACAATGATGACTACCTAAAAAGAGAGATACTTTTTTATTCCAGAGACTGAATTAAAACACCCCATGAGTGTCTATCTACATTGCAAGCAGTATATTCATTTTTGTTATTATCTTTGGCTATTTTAATACACATGTCCAGAAAAAGTTAACCTAAACCGTCACAACTATAGCAGATTAAAAAGGGGTTTTGTTTCTTGATATTAACATTCCTTGAACTTCATCTGCAATAGGTAATCATCTGAGAACTGAAGCCATATGAATCACTAACCATCTGCCATAACCAACTTAAATAAATCATTATTGACTTCTATTCTGAAAAGTTTGTAGTCTGTGTATCAGATGTTAAGACTATAGAAGCATAGAAGTGCCCTAGTGCAGAAAAGACAGATAATTGTACAGATTGTTCAATAAGAGTGCAACCTTAGTTGGAAAAGTTCAAGAACATCAGTGATGGTTTGTTTAAAAAAAGTCATTCTACACTTTCTTTATGTGCCTATGGCTGAATATACTATTGTCTAATTTTTGAAACTTCTTTTTAATTTTTTATAGCTCCACTCATAGATGTCACGCCTAGCCATAGTGGTTCAGCCATGCTAATGTTACTGTCTGTAGTATTTGTGGGATTGGCAGTATTTGTAATTTACAAATTCAAAAGGTATGTGAGTTTTTTTCCTGACTTTCTTTCCATCCTTCTAGCCGTGTGAAAGCATAATTCAAAGAGAGCCTTAGCATACACATAGCAATGATGGTTTTTGTTAATGTTTTAGGAAGATTCCGGGCATTAATGTTTATGCACAGATGCAGAATGAGAAAGATCAAGAGATGGTCAGTCCAGGCAGTCAAAGTGAAACCATTCCTAATGTCCCTCAGAGGGAGCTGATGAACCCACAGCAACTAGTAGATGAGAAGTTGGATACCAGCCCATAGGTAAATAAACTAAGCCAGCCAATAGCTGGTCAAAGTTTGCATTCTGATTGGCTAAAACTATTCTGACTTTTCCAACCTCTTTTGCTAAAACACTCAATATTCCCACTGATCTATTAACACATCTAAATTTCTCTAAATTAACACAAATATTCTTTACCCCACCTCTTCTAATTAATGAATCAGAAATTATGAGGTAACATTTTATTTTTATTGTAGTAAATGTCACAATAGTTAATTAGGGCTATGGGGAAAAATATTCTACCATCATAAATACCTTTATTCAAGGAAACATTTCTCCATTTTTGGTTTATATTTTGTGGCCACAAAATTATCTTTCAATGAACTTTTTTATGTTTTATGACATATGCCACTCAGTCACTTACTGAGATGTTGTAAGTAAACAAGCAAACAAACAAACTTACACTAATCACTAGACAAAATATAAAATTCTCCTTTATGGTATCATGACAAATTACTAGCTATCATTATTACAATACTAGCTGAATTTATTTTTCTATTTTTATTCTTTTATATATATCATACCTTTTATGCAATCTCTCACAAGAATTAAACTGAACACAAATGGAAACCATTACAATTAATACAACAACAAAGGTATTTTATTCAAAAATCTTTGAATAAAAAATTGTGCTTTCTAAATACCTTTGCACAGTCACTGCAGTATATCCCATCACATATGTTTCTCAAACTTGGCAATTTTAAAATGCATGGACTTCAACTCCCAGAATTCCCAAGCCAGCATATGAGCCTCCTAAAGACGGACATCTCCTTATAGTTTTATTGATTTGTGCAATCCTGCAAAAAAAAGGATAATTTGATAATTAGTAAGGCTAACTAATTTAGGATGTTAACGATAGTCATTATTTTATATTTCAGCCAGACATATATTTACAACCATGGTAAACTTTAAAAAGTAGTTATAATATAGCTTCTCCAAATAAGTCTAAGAGACCAACTATTATTTCAGTTTCAATTAGAATTTCTGAATTTCATATAAAGGCAGCTGTATATTAACAAAGTTTGGATAAACTCTGAGGAAAGCTTTACTGGAGGTGAGTTTGCCAATGCACTACTTTCAAATTCTTTGCTGCACATATTAGCATGACATGGCCTTTTAGAACATACAGTGAAGGGTACCTTGGAGGTGTCCTAGTCAAACCCCCTGCTCAAACAGGACTGAGACTCTCTATTCTTTGAATATAGCCTTTGAATGGACTCTGTCTGGTTCATATTTGTATTCCAGTTTACAATAATATTACAATAATATAATCTGCTCACAAAATTTGAGGGTAGTATTTTTTGCTTTATGTTGAACCTATTATCAAGATTTAGGAAAGATATGAATGATAAAGTGGGTGAAGCAAATAGAAAAGAAGTATATTTGATCTGATGTTATTTTAAATTCAAAGGTAGATTAAATTAATAGGTATAGCTAATATGTACATGATTTATGTATTTAATATTTTCCCAAATTTGACAACAGAAGAAGTAATGTGTAAGTAATCTGTGGTGACACAGTGGTTAGAATGCAGTATTGCAGGCTATTTCAGCTCATTGCCAGAAATTTGATTCTGACCAGCTGAAGGTTGACCCATCCTTCCATCCTTCTAAGGTCGGTAAAATGAAGACCCAGATTGTTGGAGGCAATATACTGACTCTGTAAACCACATAGAGAGTGCTGTAAAGCACTATGAAGCAGTGCTATTGCTATATATTGCCAATTAGCAATATTTTGGAAGGGCACGTTATGCATTCTTCTGGAAATGTATTATTAATTATGATCAAATGCATGCAACTGTATTTATTACTGAAGCTGTTGTTGTACTTTATCCTTCATTTCTCTTCCTTCCCTTCCCCTTGCACATGTAGATTAGTATTCAAGGATTGTACTTTTAATGAATCCAACTGATTCTGGCTGGGGTTATTTGTAGGGTTGCCAGATTTCCAAAGACCAATTCTTGTTCACAAGAGGCTATTGGGAGGAAAATCTCCTGGACATCCTGGACACCAACCAGCGAGCGTGACCAGACAGCCAAGGACTGCCCAGGGTCCAGGACCAGACAGTGCATAGACTCTTGCCTTGCTGATAAGCACACTGGCGGTCAGATGTCTGAGGAATGCTCGTCAGGCGCAGGTGCGCTGGGTTGCTGACCCACTGATTAGTACACTGGTGGTCAGTTGAAGGGGTGGGGGACTGGAGCAGCTGCCTGTAGGGCACAAGACCAAAATAACCATGTTAAAGTACATGGATAATCTGGAACCCTTCCAGAGCTGCCAGTCATAAAGTTTGATTATAAATATTGTCCTGGGCAGTGGACAAAGCAGATGGTTTCTATACTGTCCAAGATCATCATGGATATCTGGCAACCCTATTTGGATTTAGCCTTGGCTGTATCCAAGCCAGTAATTACCATAATTCAATTTAAAAATGTTTTGAAATGTTTGGGCTCAGCCTTGAACAATTTGACATAGAGAGAGAAATTATATCCTTCTGTAATCGTATTTTAATATAAGGTGCAGTTTTTGTGCATATATTTGTCTTATTGCTTCAAGAGCCTTTTATGGCCAGTTTAAGTGATAATTAAATAAATATATTCAGAAGGATTCTTAATGTATGGGAGTTGCCTATAATGTATGTGACAGAAGTATGTGTATATGAGTGAAAATATCTCCAAATGCATATAATGATTAAAAATTGAAAGAAAAGCAGCATAGATTCATAGAACAGAAGATTTTTCCCTGAAAATCCATGCTGCATCAGCAAAGAAAGTAGAGTTCATTGTCAATTCTATACAGATGCTTTAGATAGCCCAACGATTAGAATTTTAGGAATTTTTGAACAAACTTAGTTCCTCAATAATTCTCTAGAAATTAACCACTAAATGTAAAATCTGATTAATGGCCTTTTTTTTTGCTCAGTTTCAGGCCTCCAGTCTTTGAGGAAAGACAAAAACCTCAGCAGATTGTCAAAGAACTGTCACTTTATATTTGATTTCAAATATTATCAAAAGTAAGCACTTTAACTCAAAGATATCCAACCAGTCCAGTTCCTTCCTTTGTCACAGGCTGGACTTTAATTTGACAGGGTTAAGACATGCTCATTAGTTTGGAAACAAGATATGTGCAGCCTTTTAAATGATAAGCAGGCACTTAAGATGAGCATAATGTCTCAGTAAGCAACATTTACATCCAAAGTATTGAAAATCAGGATACTGAGAAGTTTCCTGTTCCCTCAGTTGCACTTTGTTATTTTGCTAATTTAAATTTATTGTGTTTATCTCTCTTTACTACAGGAAGTATTTCCACAGTTGCTGAGACTCAAAGCACAAAAGAAATTCCTACCTGTATCAATGTTTGAAACAAGGACACCAATCTATCTTTATCCCCTTCAATATAATATTGGACTTTTGATTCTTCTGATGACAAAAAAGGTTTTTAGCTTTAAGCCTGTGCATGTGGATGTCATTTGGGTAATATTTAGAATGTACAGGTGCTCTATTTTAGTGGGGTAAAAGGAAAACACTACTTCCTCGTAATCCTTTTCCCATTTCCTTTTCTAATCAAGATTTAATTTTAAATGATCCATACTGATATACGCCAAGAATGTGCATGGGGAATTTTGGGAGGGAATTTAGGTGAATGTAAACTTGCTGACTTTCAGTATAACTCCTAACATTTTTAGCACTGAGGGATAATAGATGACTTTGGCACTACAGGCTACATTCCTGAAATATAGAGAAAAATGTAATAGAGTTTTAAAAACATAACAGTTTTATTATTTTCCCCCTTGTGTTTTCATCTGGTATTTTATGTACTCCCTAAAATAATTTGTCTGGAGTTCTTTTAGTTTTGTTAAAGGCAGGGCAAGACAAACAGAAAAAAATGTGTTTTTCACTGCCAAAAAACAAAATACTTTATAATAGTTGATTAACACTTTCATTCATGCCATTCTAGTTCAAGAACAACAAAAAACAACTATCCTTATTGATATAAATCTAGTCAGAGAGTTTGAATATCAGTTATAGCTTGTCTTTGTCATCATTAGGTACCTCTTTAACCCTCCAAATTAATAAAGACTTCCAGTTCCATCCCATCTATTCACTTTGGAAATAATTATTCATTAGTAGATTGGAACTAATTGGGAAGAATATTATTTCCTATAGTTTCCACATTGTTGCCTCTTCCCAAATGTATTGGCGGATTTTTAAAATGGTTTTTAAAAAACCCCAAAATTAGAGTCATTTGGTATATTGAGTGAATATTATAGATAAATTGATTCAATCTATGAGCCAACAATCATCAACTTTCAAAAAGACTTGTTCCAGAGGAATAAATTGCAAGTCCTGCTATTCCTGAACTTTATACAGAAATGATGTTTGCGTGATTTCATTATAAACATGCCACAAAATGTAGATAATAGTATAATAGATGATGTAGACATAACAGAAACCTTTAAATCAAGTTGTACTATTTACATGAAATGTTTTCCCCATACTGGGGCTAATTTTACATCTTGTAGCTGGAATATATCAACATCCTTTGCCATATAATTAACTTTTCAGATAGATGCTAAATATATTTCCATATCTATTTAAAAACCATCTACCATTTTTATTTCATTGTTTTTATTGCATCATGAAATATAACAGTTCCAGCTACAAGTTCTACAGAGCAGACTCAAATACATTATTTTTCTAGACTGAGTCAGGGAAAATGTTCAACTGAGCAGATTTTAGTTCCTCCAAATTTGTAACCAATTGGAAATAATCCTCACTGGGGACCTGATGTACATGTTAGCTGTAAACTGAAAGTTGATTAATGCATTAAAGATATAATCCATATGTTGAGAATGACTTTTAATTGTAAGCCTGATGATTGAAAGACCTGGCCTATTTTTTTTTTTTATTCACTGGTTGGTTCCCCACTGCTGGATTTTTTTAAACTTTTTGCTTAATGAAAAGTTACACTCTAGTAAAGATATTATCTTATTACAAATATTGGATTCAATATGAGAAATATAATTCCCATGACACCAGCTCCTGGAGTGCGCATGCACTAATGCAGTGGTTCTCAACCTGTGGGTTGGGACCCCTTTGGGGGTCGAATGACCCTTTCACTGGGGTCACCTAAGACTATCGGAAAACACATATTTTTGAAAAAATACGGAAAACAAAATAATTTTATGGTTGGGGGTCACCACAACATGAGGAACTGTATTAAAGGGTCGCGGCATTAGGAAGGTTGAGACCCACTGCACTAATGGGACATGAACACTCTCTTGGAATAGCAACCTTCCAGTATGAATTGGATGCCCTTATCTGTTTCTAGCATAGAGCATAAAGTAACATCAAATAAAGTAAGGAGTATCAGGGATTATGTAATTCATTGAAAATGTAAGGTCTTGAAGCTCTGTTATTTAATTCTAAAGCATTGAATCCATAAAGTGTTGGTTGAGGTACATTACAGAGATGTAAAATACTAGTAAAATATCTACCTCACTTACCCAGGTAAGTAAGTTAGTCCAATGAAACTGTTTTCCAAAGCACTGGAATTTCTAAACATGTATTAATTTTTCAAAGTCATATTATTCCCATTATTAGATATTTAAAAACATATCCAGTGTTATGACAGTGTTCAGAAGGATCATAATTGAGGACTTTATAGTTAAGGTTATTAACTATAGTTATTAATTTCTAAATCAATTTAAATAATTAATCTGGTTTATATGTTAGTATCCAAACAATATAAAAAAATCAACAGCCAAGATATTTGAATACTTATGCTTAAACTTTAAAAAAAGTGTAATGAAACTTTCAACTTCAAAATGAATACTAAAATGTGACTGTATTAATAAGTATGATTATTAATATGGTAATTACTATTTATAATAAAATTAATGAAATTCCATGTATGCAGGGGAAAATGAAAAATGATCCACTGAGATACATTGTTTCAGATTTGTATAATATGACAGGTGTTCTTAAACTTAATTTAAACATCATTTAACTTAGATTACTTCAGACTTATGCCAGTTTTAAAGGTCAAACCGTTAATTCTAGCAAACATTGAGGGGCTATGAGGTCGGAAATACAGCACTAAGACCATCAGTCTAATAAGCTGCTGGCATCAGGCCTGTTATATGGATATTTATTGCAAATCCTGTAATCATTATCTAATGAGAAGCTGTTGCCTGGGCAACAGGCTTTGGTATGCCTCATCTTCCATCAATGGATGATATTTATAAATATCCTCTTTTACTGGAATTGAAACTGGCGAGATGCTGATGTGATTGTTTTGGCACAACTCTGTTACTAAGGCTGCACATGTATTCTTACTGTCAGTGAGATTGAGTCAGATAGAATTCAAATATCCTGAATTAAGATGCTAGTGTACCACATAATGCACTAATGCACAGAATCCTTTCAGGAAGATGATTAAAAATAAAAAGCTGGTACCCTGTGAAGAATTTGGTTAAATGAATGATTTGAAAAGCAGTTAAGCTCATAACTCAGTATTTCTAACAATGAATTTGGAAAACCATATTGGATATTCTTCATGTTATTTCATCAAGTAGAATTTCCGCTCCCATGAATCACAATATAGATGCCTCCCACCCAAACAAAACATTGGTGCAGGTTTGGAAAAACAACTGCCCACAAGAAAAGCTTCAGTATTATACTAGCACTATTTTCAGTTTTAAATTAAGAAATACACAAGCAATTTTTAAAGTCCAATTATTTCAATAATAGGGTTAATTACTTAAATGTTTCCCTTAAAAATAAAAATAAATCATTTAATTTCAATCTTCAATCTCATTATTTTCTGAAGTCCATTTTAATACTAAGGCCAAAATTGCTACACGTGAATATATGAAATATAGGGTAAGGATAATATTTGGCTTATTGTAATGCTAGAAAACTAGGGATGTAGCTCATCAGAACAGAATCCATATTTTTTTCACGTAACAAGGACAGAATACTATCCATAGTCTCAAAACAGAAAAAGTACATAATTATAAACTAAGTCATATTGATAAACTTCTGGAATTCTTCTGTACCTTTTTCCTACCAGATGGGAATAATGTATATCCATTGGTGTACTGTCATGGTATGGGAAAATAATCAAAGGTCACTATACAATAATTCTCACAATTCTAATGGATAGAAGTCCAATATTACTGGTGTTATTTTTATAGGAAATAAATTTGATTTCTTTTCTTATAGCATTGAACTATTGCTAATTTTGAAATGACTTTTTGATGTAATTTTCCCCTCTTGGTTGGATACAATGTAGTGTAATGTATAATTGCTATTGTTTATTGATTTTACAGTCATATTTATTAAACAGATTATGTCTCTAAAGGATTGGATTGTCAGTTATTAATTTTTCTCATTAGAGTGTGAGCACAATTTTTTTTCAATGTAATATAATGTACACAAAGTACTAACAAAATTACAATTGTGTCCTTGTTTATCATCATACAATAGAAATAATTTCCATCTGACAAAATCAAATACATTTGATTATCAAGGTCGATTTTCTCTATAAATTTAACTACTTGTATGATCCAATTGGATTCAGCTCTAGTGACGACATTGGCAAATGCTTGATAACTCAGCCTTTCATTTGTAGCTCTCCCAAGTACAGTCCTAAAATCATTCATCTTTCTATTCTTCTTTCCTTGACAATATAGTCTCCCTTCCCATCCATCCTCGATTTGCATCACATGATCCAAAATATGAAGATAGCCCAAATGTCTGTTGAACTAGTCCAATGACTATTGCCTCAAAGCCATAGTCTTTATTGGGTATAAATTGATTTAACAAAATAACAAGAGTTGGAGGAACCTTGAAGGTCTTCTAGTCCAACCCTACTGGTTAAGCAGAAAACCCTATAAATGGTTGTTCAATCTCTTCTTAAAAAACCCTATAAATGGTTGTTCAATCTCTTCTTAAAAATCTCTAGTGTTAAAGCATCCACTAATACCAATGCTCATATTAACTATCTGAAGAAACATAATGTGAAGATATCTAAGTTATTTATCCTTCTGTTTCTCACTGTTCAGATTTATGGCTATACATAACCAATAAAAGACCATTGCTTTTACCATTTTTCTTGAAGGTGAGGAAACAGAGAGAACATCTTTTCTCAGGATATTTATCACCAGTGGAAACCACAGAAGGCAACAGTAGACTGTAGAACAATGGCATAGGTCAGCGATGGTGAACCTTTTTTGGCTTACGTGCTATAAGGGGAGAGTGCAGGGGGATTGTGCACAGGCGTTCCCAACCCATAATGCAACACATGACCCCCCCCAGAGGGCATGTGCTCATGAGAGGCGTTTCCCCTTCCCCATTTTTTGCATGCTTTTTTTGCCCTCCCCAGGCTCCATGGGCTTTATAGGAGCCTGGGGAGGGCGAAAACAGCACCCCCCTCGAGGCCCTCCAGAACCTTCAGGGACCTTCAGGAGGCTTCCCTGAAGCTTCCAGGGGGCAAAAAATAACCCTACGAGCAAACCGGAAGTCACTTCTGGTTTGCTCATAGGGTTGGTTTAAGCCCTCCGGAAGCCTCAGGGACATTCAGGAGGATTCCTTGAAGCCTCCGAAGAACTAAAAAGGACCCTATGAGCAAACTGGATATGACTTCTGGTTTGCTCGTAGGCTCGGTTTAAACCCTCCAGAGGCTTTAGGGACCTTCAGGAGGCTGCCCTGAAGCCTCTGGAGGGCTTAAACCAACCCTACAAGCAAACCAGACTTCCGGTTTGCTCGTAGGGTCCTTTTTAGTTCTCCGGAGGCTTCAGGGAAGCTCCTGAAGCCTCCAGAGGACCTGGGGGCGGGGGGGGGCTCTTTTCACCTTCCCCAGGCTCCTATAAAGCCTCTGGGGCCTGGGAGGACAAAAAATGGCTTTTAAAAAAGCTGAACTTGGCCAGCGCGCACATGCGCACTGGCGAGCTGACAGGGTAATGCCTCATGTCCCCTGACAAATGGCTCCAGGTGCCACCTGTGGCACACATGCCATAGGTTCACCATCCCAGGCATAGGTTTACGGAATCAAAACTGAGGTAAAATTGTTCCTCAATATATTTTTCAGTTCCAGCACAATTAATCAGATCTACAAATCATGGAAAACAGAATTTTCTCAGTTTATGTAAGCAGAGATTATCTAAATTAATAATCAGATATGTACCAAAATCATTTCACAGCTTTGATTCCAGAAGTATTTCCTAAAATGGAACACATCGAAAAGAAAATGAGAAAAGTAACAGGAAAAAACCCAGCAAATTAACATACCTGTAGCTATAAATACTTTTTACATTCTATTCATACTTTCTTACAAACTTATATATTTCCCCTTTGGTTTATAAGCAAGTGTTGGATTCTGACCTCATGATTTTCATCAATTTTGTAATGAAATATTATTACAATTTAGAATGCAAATTTGGCAGTCATCTAGCTGTTCTTGATCATGAAAACTGTTGTCATTACTTGGTATTTTCATGTATCAGTCTTCCTTTGATATTCTCCTCATCTTTGGCTCATCATTGTTTTAGTCCCGTGATGGTGAACTATAACACAGGTCCCTAAAGTGGCACGCAGAACCTTGTTACCTGGCAGGCATGGCATCGCCCATTCCTCTTCTGGGTTTCTGGTGCACATGCATGCATGCTGGCCAGCTGATCATCATGTGTGCATGCGTATCAGTAACCAGAAGACTAGCTGGTCGGTGTGCACAGGAAACCAGAAGTTCATTTTCCAGCATGCGCATTCTCCCTGGGCAGTTCCTCTTCTGGGTTGTAGCCCTGACGAGTGCACATGCCATCACTGTTTTAGTCTATTAACCTCTTTACTTCTTCAACATACAGTATTATTCATTCTTATTTTGATCCCAAGAAACCAAACTATCTTCCATTTTAATTTTTTTCATTGTTAATAGCGGTTTTATCTAAGCACGATAGTGGACAGTAACTTTGTCTTCTTAATATAAAATATTAACATTTTAATGAGTTTTTCTACTTTTTAAATCTTTTGGTTAAATAAGTGGTGTTGCCTATATATATAAAGCTGTTAGCAGTTTAGCCTTTTATATTGATTCCAGCTGTCAGTTCTTCC